ACCATCAGAAATAATTTATTGTCCACCTTCAGTTCTTCCTTTTCCTCCTGCTCTCATTTTCTTGCTCAGGAGGATAAAGCCCTTTCTGTTTTGTTCACTCTGTAGCCTCAGTACCTAGAGCAGTGTCTAGAATAATACTGGTATGCACTCAGTAAATATTTGTTGAATAAATGAAGAATGAATGAATAATTGAGTGACTGATAAAAATAAAAGCAAGTGCTTAAGTTCATGAAGAGAGGTTTGCTTTTCTGGGTTAGAATAGCTAAGATAATTAGGGAACAAAATGCATAGAGCTGAATTCAATTCTTTGTTACACTTTATCTATTCATATGATTTGGGGCTCATTTCTTAACCACAGTGTCTGTTTCTTTATCTGTAAAGCAGGTATGTAAAGCTCATGGAGAAAGATTAATGACTCAGTAAAACAACAGAGATTCATCATTTTTACAAAATGTGTCTCAGTCAAGCTCTCCTTTTGAATAACAAACTTGTTTATGTTTGAAATTTTGAAGAAATTATAAAACATTTTGACATTGAATAGTCTTGTGAAATATGAAGTAATATTTTTACTATTTTGCTCAAAGGGCTTGCATCAAAAAACACTGTAAAATTATTCCTATTAACTTACCCATTTTGCTGATGCCTCCCAGTTTTATTTGAGTTTTAATTAAAAAGGGGAAAAGATAGAAAAACTAAGAAAAAAATAAAAATTTTAAAAAACAGATGTTTGAATAGCAATTTGTGATATTTTTCTAAGAATGGTGAAATTGTGCTTGATTTCAGATGATACTTTATAACAATTATTTTGTCTGTACTACTGTAGTCAATAAGCTAAACTAAGAGTTCAATCACAGATATAATCAACATAAAAGCTTTAATAATTGCTCTATAAATAAGCAAACAGTCAGGCTTAGACATGTCCAAATCATGATTCATTTATTCAACACATATTTGTTAAATGTCTTCTATGTGTCAAGCACTGTTGTAGGTGCATTGTTAGTGAATTAAACAAAGATTCTTATTCTCCTAGGGCTTAAATTCTAGTCGGGGTATTATGTTTATTATATGTTTTGCCTCTCCTTGCTCCGTAGCTTTATACTTTTCTCCATTTGTTAAGTGTGACTTAAAGGATTGATAGATAATTTTTTGTGTGTGATTTTTAAAAATCCACTGTTGCTTAAAATTAGGTACATAATGTTATTTTAGGGTCACAGAATAAATACCAAATGATATTAATGTTTTGGAGACCATCTGGTTCTTTAGACACATCTGCTCTGCAAATCTGGACAAGTCATTTAATTTGATGGGGCTGGAATCAGGTCTGTAACAATTGGGTTATTCCAAGGGAAGAACAGTATTTGTGTATTTGGGACAATGGATTGTAGTCTGGGTTTCAGTAATTCACTTTGGCTATATGAATACTTCTCTTATGTCATTTAAATTTAAGCATATATGCAATTCCATTGAAGAAATATACATCTACTGCTTATTAATTGGAATGGTGTGGTTCTTTACACCTTTGTTTTCTATAAATTTAATAATTTTAGAATTTATAATATACTTTTCCTTTTACGTATTTAGAGTTCTTCATACACACTTTTATTTACTCACAGTTGAGCTCATGGAATACAAAGAATGGAT